ATGAAAGAAAGATATGAGAGAGAGAAAAAATGAGAGAGAGAGAGAGAGAGAGAGAATAAATAAATAAATAAATAAATTCCAGGTCTTGTGGTGAGACTAACTTTTTCCTAGGGCAGGACAGGCTCCCCCCCCCCCCCCGTTTTCTTTTTATTGTTGATGATGATCTGTAATTGAACATAAAACGTGCAATGGGAAAAAAAACGTAACTGGAGACTAACAGATGTGCTGCTGGGGAAAAAATGAGAAAATTAAGAGAGTTATTAATGTGTACATTTTGGGAAATTAAATGTTCTTGATAACATTGAGTTACATTTAACAACTTTACCTGTCACTTGTTGCATTCATGGTTTCTGTCAAGGGGAGATTTCTGTTTGCAAGGCACTTTGGTTTCATCTTGAGCCTTTGCTTCATCTCCAGTTTTAATAACAAAGCAGCGTGCAAGGTGGACAGACTGCAGCGTCTGTGCTGTCCTGCAGGCGGCACTGCCTCTAGTTCCCCTCCGTAAAGTGCTTCCCAAACATGGGTCCCCAAATGTCCCAGAAGCTTTTGATATAACACCTTCCCCCCTAGTGCTGGCCAGGATTGGATTGAGTTGTAATCCAAGAATATTGTGGGGACTTGGAAGAGGGGCTCCTTTGTTGTGACTCCCAGGTTTTGGAACTCTCTCCCACGAGAAGCCAGGCTGGCCCCATCTTTGCTGTCCTTCTGCAAGCAGACAAAGACTTTTCTCTTCAGACAAGCTTTCCCTCAGTGACCGGCTCCCTGTGTGGGGTTTTTAACAGACAGTTGAGCCTTACTGCTTTGAATGTGTTTTTGGTGTTGCTTTTGTTTACGGCCTTTTTGTGAGTGTGGTATTTGTTTGATCCTTTTTAGTATTTGTATACTCATTGCTTTTAGTTTTAAATATTGACCTTTAACGATTTGAGCCACCTTGGCTCTTTTTTTTTAGGTGAAAAGAAGGGTAAAAAAATTAAACAAACAAACATCTGGGGACCCAAGGTTGGGAACCTCTGCTACAGGGATAGCTCGGCTCTGCCTCTGCCCCACTAGCCTCAGTGGACACCACCTGCCCCTGAGATCATTCTGTTAATGGACTAAGGCAGGAGCATAAATGAAGTGTTGCCCTATAATAGACAAGACCTTTTGACGGATGCAAAGTATGAGGCACAGCTAAGTGGATCAAAGCATGTTCTGCATTTAGCCTTTCCTCCCCACCCACCCACTCACCTCAATTTTAAATATATGTGGGAGTTGGGTGTTTGATAGGTCGTTTGTGCAGTTGATAGTTTTCTTTGCCCAGACTCTGCCCAGAATGTTTTTGCAATCCGTCTTCATGGAAGGGATGAGTGCTGGAAAGTTAACTTAATGACCTTTTAAGGAGATTGTGAGCCCACCCCAATCACCCTGAAGGGACAGGCTATAAGAGATTGTATCAACTCCTTTGTTTTTCGAAGAAACCCTAATCACCTCAATTAGGTGAAATGCTTTCTTCCCGCTCCTGCAGCAGCGCTTTCTGTTTAACTTTTCAATAAACAAATTTCAATAGAAAGCCTCCGTGTCTCAGTTCTCTATTTTTTTTAAGAGCTTTCCTCCATTAGAGAACCGGATAACAGGACCCAAGGTTGGGAACCTCTGCTACAGGGATAGCTGGGCTCTGCCTGTGCCCCACTAGCCTCAGTGGACACCACCTGCCCCTGAGATCATTCTGTTAATGGACTAAGGCAGGAGCATAAATGAAGTGTTGCCCTATAATAGACAAGACCTTTTGACGGATGCAAAGTATGAGGCAGAGCTCACCTCAATTTTAAATATATGTGGGATTTGGGTGTTTGATAGGTCATTTGTGCAGTTGATAGTTTTCTTTGCCCAGACTCTGCCCAGAATGTTTTTGCAATCCGTCTTCATGGAAGGGATGAGTGCTGGAAAGTGGCTGGGTGGCTGATTTGGTCAGAAAACCAGCCCATCAAGAAATAGGAAAAAACAATTATCAAAACCTTAGAGATAAATCAACACTTAAGAGATAAATTAATGTTGAATTATCTCTAAGGCTCTGGAAATATTTTATTTTCCTATTTTTTTAGAATATTTTTCCCATTCCATACCAAGTCTGCTTTCAAGACTAGCAAGTCTGTGCATTCTTAATATAAGCTGTGGTTGAAATTACAATAGACTTTATTCAGGCTATTGTGGTGTCTATGCTGCTGAGGTCCATTTAGTGGTCAACTGAGCAGAGGGACAAATTCTGTGGTGCCTTATCAGTCAGGAAAATACTGCAACCATAGATCAAAGCTCAGTGATGTGGGTCAAGCTATCGAGGGAATGCTGCAGAGACATGGGGAACGAGTACAGCAGAGAGCCAACCCTTAAGCCTCTGATTCCTACCCATAGCAATTAATCTGTAGCAATGTGAGCTGTTTAGCAACAAGACTCTTGTACAGTATGCTTCTGATACCTTTGTGGAAATGCAGCAAGGAGAAAAATGCCCTGAGGCAACAATTCCCCTTTCTGGTTTGTAATCATTAATTGCCCCACTAAGTGTTGCAGGACACTGGCAGTGCGACTGAACTGCCAGAGCCCTTAAGAAGCAGTACTAACTAGTTCAGAGTGGAAAGAAAGAGTGTTATGCGGGATTTGTTGTTTTTTCTATTAGTTTTGAATGATGTTTCCTTGATAAGCTCATGAATTCTTTACTATGAGGGTCACTGCCATCTCAGGGCACATATTTAAAGTGCTGCTGTGTCCCAAAAATCCTAAGGATTAAAAGCTTTTTTTGCTTTGCCAGCATGAGTCAAGTAACTTTTTGGAAAGCACTGGAATATTTTTGCCGGCTGTTGGGGATCTCGACTGGATCAGGTGAGAACCATGGTTTAATACAATTTTACCCCTTTGCATTACAGGCATGGATTCTGTTATTCTTCCTAGATCTTGCTAAATTTTGATGGAGGTATTTTTCCCTGTGGTATTGGCTTAGCAAAATTAATGTGAACTCATACTTCAGACAGAGACATGAAAGAGTGAGAGGATGACAGCTTGGAAAGTTTCCTTTGTTAAAATTATTATTAATTATTAATTATTAA